AATAATTTTAAATATCAGTATTCAATGTTTTATGTTTAAAATATCAAAACAGTATTAATGCATTTGTAACTGCAGGTTAAATACATTCATGTCCTGCATTAAACAGTGTAAATGCATCTAAATGCCACTTCTAATGCAGCTTCTGTGTTTTCTCTGCATTGCAAAGATTAATTTTGCCAATACTGATTTCATTTGCTTGGTAATAGCCCAAATGACTTATTATTCTAATTGATTGATTAATTTTAAGAATTTGACTGAAAAGATGATTCACACTTTTAGAAAAAAGGGCTTTATAAAGGTAAAAATGCCCATAAAAGGAAAAAAAAAAAAATCAATTTAAACTTATTAGAAAAGATTAATTTCTATCACTGCTGTAAACTGATCACCACACAGAATATGCAGAATATCAAAAACTTTAGGAGTCAGCTGTCCACGGTAGTCCTTAAGATATCAGCACAATCAAAATATAATAAAATTTGCATTCAGCACAAGCAAAATATCGTCTAATTATCATTATCAATAAAATCCCAGAAAATATTGAGATATATTTTTTGTTAATATCGCACACCCCTAATATATTTAACGTTTTGTTTAGAAAAAATTCAAATAGATATGAGAAGTGCCCTTTTTTCCACTTGAGCTCCTGCCCCTCAAAATGTCTGTGCACGTCCCTGAATATAAATATATAAAATCAAATAAATTAACAAATTATTCATTAATAATGATTTATATAACTACTATACCAACATTATCCAGATACAGTACACACACATTAAGCTGTACTGTATAAAATAAAATAAATAAAATGTAAACTATATTATCGACCAGCTCTAATCTGATGAATGCAACTATAAGGCATAAAGTTAAGAAGATATTATAAACATTAACATCTTGATTTTCTGTAAAGCTGCTTTGAAAAAATGTGTGTTGTGACAAGTGCTATGTAAATCAATCTGACTTGACTTCAACAGGGCAGAACACTGGTGAGTAACTCCATTCTTTTACTTTCTTATGTGAGTGTTGAATGTGGACCCTGGGTGTGAGCTTTTTTGGAAACATGATAAAGCGAGAGTATTTTCTTAGCTTTTTGATTTTTTCCTCTTTTTCACTATTATATCTCCATTGTAACTTCTTATTATAATAGTCTGAAGTATTTGTTTGAAGTCATAACATAAGCAGGGTCATATACCCTGTTCAAGTACAAAATGGGGAAAACATATCAGTGTTGCATGTTGACTTAATCCGAAAAGGAAACAATTTATATCAAACATGTTATTAAAGTCATCAAGCACAGGCAAGACCCTGACCTGCTTTCATGTTTAACCTCATAATCAATATACTGTATGACTGGCCTTTACTTGAAAGTACCCCTGCTCTGCCAGTCATTGAGATCAAAGATAATGCAGTTGCAGACAAACAGCATACATTGTTCTTCAACTTATGATGTATATCACTGTGGTAAACCCCACTCTGTTCAAGTCACGTCAAGACGGTTTTTGATTTCCCCTTTTATGGGTTTATATAAATTATGTTCTAAGAGATGATGAGGCATTATGCACTAGTTTAAGTCTGGGGTCAGCAAGATTTTGATATTTGAAAGATATATTTTTACTCAGCAAGGATACATTGAATTGAATTGATGAAGTAAAAAGTGTCAGTAAAGACATTTATAATGTTACAAAAGATTTTGTTTTTAAATAAATGCTGTTCTATTCTAACTAAATAGCGGTATTCTTTGTATCATGGTTTCCCCACAAATGTTAAGCAGCAGAACTGTTTTCAACACTGATAATAATAAGAAATGTTTTTTTAAGCACAAAATCAGCATATTAGAAACATTTCTAAAGGAACACTGTGACTCTGAAAACTGGAATAAATTCAGCTTTGCCATCACAGGAATAAATTACATTTTATAATACATTAAAATAAAAAAGAGTTATTTATTTTAAGGTCCAATTCTTGCTATTAACAAACCATTAACTACAACTTAGGCCTCAATAAACTACTAAGTTGCTGCTTATTAATAGTTAGTAAGGTAGGTGTTAAGTTTAGGTATTGGGTAGGATTATAGGGATGTAGAATATGGTCAATAAACAGCCAATATGTTAATAATAGGCATGCTAATAAGCAACTAGTTAATAGTGAGAATTGGTAAAGTGTTACCAGTTATTTTAAATTGTTATAATTTCACAATATTACTGTTTTACTGTATTTTTTTTATTTTTATCAAATGTGGTCTCAAGAGACTCATTTTAAAAAATCTACACACTGTAGTGAAATATATACTCAGCAGTGGCCAAAAGGCCAAAAGATGTCTGGTAGGGACATTTGCACAATATTTGCTTTTAATAAACCTACAAGTTTATATTGGTAAGAGAAAAACACTAAACTTGGTTATGGTATTGCTAAAAATTATTTGTTGAAAAGGCAAACTACAGCTCACAAAATGCATATTAAAAAACAAGGAGCTCAGAGTAAATAAAGTATACATAGACTACAATATAATCAATTATTAATATTTTATTGGTTCTCCCTTGTTTTTGATTAGCAGCCATTCTCGTGCGCATGCCTCAATAAGCATGTTTCCTTGCATTATCACAAATGACAGAACTGAAACACGGAGCACATAAACATTCTCCAAGCACAGCTACGCAATATGCTTAGAAAATCTACATAAACTTATCATTATGTTTGAATAGAGCAAAGATATCAATTTTCCAAGGCCAGACACTTGGCCACTACTATAGTATATATGCTATATTACATACATATTTGAGTAATAGTATTATTTAATAATAGCTGTGGAGGTGTTACCTGCATCTGAGAGATGGTAAGGGGGTAACGGTAAAGAATCCAGGTGACGTTCTCACTACAGGGTGGTGTGGTTAAAGAGCCCTCATACACCCAGTAATCTCTTAAGAGAGGATCTGAGGAGGCAGATGAAATGGAGACAGTCAGATACACACTGGTAACACTTAACTAATGGATATATCAAGATGCTGTCAGCAAAGATTAAATATCAAAACATGCAAATAAACCGCAAATATCAGTATAACAGATTATGAATTTACCAGGCAGTAATGTGTTGGGGTTAAAACATGGAATTATTTTTGTCTTTCCCTGTACACACAAAAAAAGACATTTTAGGTCACAAGCATATGAGTCATATTTTTAGCTATAGTCTCTAGTGAGCCAGCTCTTCTGCTCACCTTATACTGCAGGTCCTGCAGGACGTCTGTGATGGCCTTCAGCCCAAGATGTTCCTTCCCAATCTGCATAGAACAAATTAGAGCACTATGTCAGCCGACTGCAAGAAGACCAGAGACACAAAAAACAGCCTTTCTCTTGAAAGGTTTTCTATATTTACACCACTAATACCATGTTTATTTACACAACACTATTGGGTAGTTTTGTATCTGTTATGATGACCTCCATGTGTTGAAGTGTGATACCTGCACAAACAGGGCGATGATAAGAATGCCTTTTTTCTTGCCCATGGCCTCCTCCACGCCGTTGAATAATGTAGAGTTCCAGTGGATTAGATGAAGCTGTGAGAGATATTTATTACTAATTAAGTGATCTGCAATAAGCTGAACTCTGAAATTAACATATACAAAGTATGCCAAATTATGAAGGTGATGATGCCAATTCTGTGTTGTGTTAAAAGACTGGTTTGACTCGCAGTTGTGCTAACAACTTGAGAAAACGTGATGTGGTAACAGGTTGACAAACATGGTAACACATTAAGAGCGGGTCCTTATCTTTCTCATTGTGTACAGAAGACCAGGAGTAGGAGAGCAGGTGTCAGGAACAGGTGATTTGAATAGATCACTTGATGATAAATCCCTCTTTGGAGCATGTGGTATTGTTGTTTTTGACATGGATTGAGCTCCCAGTTTATGGTTTTGTAGCTAAAAAGGCTTCCTTCCTTATAAGTCAAATGGATACAGCAGCTGACGTGCTGGCGTTACTTGCATTGCTTATGCAGAGTGAATACTGTGACCTGTTAATGTAGGCCCCAAAATAAAAATGTGTTGTTTATGTGTGTGGTGTGAAGCAGGCTTGTTTTAGTCTGTCCCTCAAACATCAGAAAGGGTGAGTAAGTGAGAGAACCAAAAGAGGAAATGATGATATGGCCAGAACTGGCGGAGTGACACTGACCTCCATAGGAAAAGCCTTGAAGTTGACAGTGTGTTCAGATCCCCTCTGGTTCTCTTTCCCCCAGTGGAAGCGCACCTCGCTCAGTTCATACTCATGGTCACTAGGGAGCGGACCTCCAGTCACAACTGAGACACAGGAAAGACAACAGGATGAAATGACATAAAACAAGCTCACTGTGTACATATAGGTTTCTCACAGACAGCAGATTTATTTCATTTAACCACTCCGTGACCTAGATCTTGTGATGCCACTAATGAGATCTTGGTTAAAGAGATAGCTCAGCCCAAAATAAAAATTCTGTCATTATTTAATCGCCCTCATGTTCCAAATAATGGGCAACCATTAAATGGATAAATCCAAGGCAGTTATAATGCCTGATATTTGCCATTTTTTAGTTATAAGAACGTCCGTATTTTTGAAAACTAGTATAATAAGATTACAGTATAGAAGTTGTTAACATATAAATCTGATATTTTAAATGACTCATTACCTGTCAAACTTTAAAAAAAAACAATAGTTTTTGTTAATATTTTGAATTAGATCTAATTCAAAATTAATTTATTTTGACGTTTTGTCATTTTTATCAGTTTTTGTTGCTTTTAAATCTCTATACAGTTTTTTATAAATTTTTATTTCAGTTTGTAATTTTAGTACATCAAGTTTAACTAAATGAAAATGAGAAATTCAGCCTTTTAAACTAGCTGAAATAAAATAAGTTTAAGTTTTTTGTATTTTATTTTATTTTACATCAGTTAACACATTTTTTTTTCAAGTAACAATTTTTGGTCACACTTTATTTTGAGTTCCAATTTTTGCTATTAACAAACCATTAACTACGACTTTTGCCTCAACTAAACTAATTTGCTGCTTATTAATAGTTAGTAAGGTAATTGTTAAGTTTAGGTATTGGGTAGGATAAGGGATGTAGAATATGCTCATGCAGAATATGTGCTTAATAAGTACTAATAAACAACCAATATGTTATTAATAGGCATATTGATAAGCAACTAGTTAATAGTGAGAATTGGTCTAAAGTGTTAAACAATTTTTTTAGTTTTACTTAAGTATAATAACCCTGCACCTGACTTGTGCACTATTATTATCTTTTGTAATCAAACGAAATTGTGCGAACAAAGTATCATTTAAGATGTTTTACACTCTAAAAAATGCTGAGAACTGCTCTCTCCTGGAGAGGATGCAAAATGCCCGCGCTCTGACTAACTCAGTGGCTGGGTTGAAGTAGCCCCACATAGGGTTGTTTCGTCGGAGGGAGGGGGAGGGGTGTGTAGTTTCAGCTGCCAATGAGATTGACCCAGCCACTAACCAAATGCCTGTGTAACACAAAAACTACCCAACACTGGAAAAAAAATCAACCCAAAATATGACCAAACATGCTCAACCCAGCCTTTGGGTAGAAAAAATAACCCAGCAATTTTTAGAGTGTAGCAATCATCCACTGATAACATTTACCCTCTTTCTAATGCTAGAATGCAATTTTTGAATCTACACTAGATACACTGAGTTACATGGAGTTCTTTTTTGGTGCTTTTATGGTACTTTTTGCTGTTTTCTGTCCTTTTTGGAACTTTAGTCAACTGTAGTTAAAAAAACTATTTTGGTATTCAAATGAAAAAATTATTTTTTCATTCAAAGAATTTTGAATGACATGTTGGTAAACAAGGCAGAAAGATAAGAAAATAATGGCAGAATTATCATTTTTAGTGAACGTTCAGCATGTTATACCTGATTTGGACTTGAGCATGATCCTCACAGTATGACCGTCGTTAATGACTTCACAGTCCCTGCAAACGACATAGTTGGGGTTAAGCCCCACCTCCAGGAGCCGCGGGTCATAGCGGGCCTCCCTAGAGTTAAGGTTTATGGGGGATTGGTACTCTCCATTTGCCTCAGGAAACAGAAGACCCCATTCAACACCTGGATTCATGCACAAAAGACAAAAACGTTGATTCAATCTTCTAACTTTTTATTCTAATGCAGTTTTCAACACATACTTATCTTGCGGATAGCACTGTCCTTATTCATGACCCACTAGCCTGCTGCTCAACCTTGAAACTTTTGCACCAATCAAACTTTTGCACCATGATACTTTGTGTCAGTTCACACATAAAATATTAGATAATAAATAGTGGTCCATTTTTTTGTCCCAATGTTGAAACTAAATAAAGGCTGCCAGAGCTCCAGTGCCTCAAAGTCATTACTGAGGGGTCCAACAGGAATAGCAGACACAGGGGGATACAGGATGTGCTCATTTTTACCCTCTGCTGCTTTTCATCTCACCCTGTCTATATGTATTACTCACTCATCTTTTCCTTGACTATTCACTATGCATTTGTTTGATCTATAATCTCACTAGTAAAGAATACATATTATATATAATAGATGAACACTGTTAGAAATAATAGTAATAAAGCTAGGAAAACAGACTCTCTTCACAAAAAGAAAAATCTTGGTCTAAATAAAATTTTTAACATAATAAACATGCATTATGCAATTATATTTTATTTTTTATTTATGCACTTTACAAGTTAAAAATATAGAGTACTGATTAAAAAAAAAAAGTTCTGAAGTGGTTATAAAGTGACAGCATTGTGTGTGGTCACAGATCACAGTTGTCTAATTTTGTCTGTGTATTTAAAGAATCGGTAGTATATATAAATATATATATGGTCCCACTTTATATTAAGTGGCCTTAACTACTATGTACTTTTATACGACTGATAGACTGCAACGGCTGGAGTTAAAAATCTCCGTTTGTGTTCTACTGAAGAAACAAAGTCACCTACATCTTGGATGCCCTGGGGGTAAGCAGATAAACATCAAATTTTCATTTTTGGGTGAACTATCCCTTTAAATTAATAATTTGGTACAATACACGTATTGTGTACATACAAGTTTTTACATTGTACTTATATTTTGAAAAATACCTGCATGTAATTACATCTGTAATTAATTTATGTAATTACATTTATAATTACACTGTTGACCCATCCCTTACACCTTAACCCACCCTTAAACCTACCCATACCACCAAACCTGTCCCTAACCTTACCCGTATCCCACCTCAATAGCAGCAAAAGTGTTTTGCAATACAATATGAACACAATAAGTACATTGTACTTATTTTTTTAATGTAAGTACAGAGTAGTTAAGACCACTTAATATAAAGTGGGACCCAATAAAGTTTCATGTTTCACAAAGAGGAGAATTAGCCAGTGATTCTCTCATTGAATCCTTACCTTCTTCATAGCCCCAGTCCAGCTCATCTTTGCCAGGGTAGTTATCGGTCTCCTCAATAACATTATCTGCCATGGCAACTGAATTTTCTTTCTACAGCTTTCAGAACAACTTTCGTTCTGTCCTGAGCAGATGCCAAAAACTACTTCTTTCTGACCCTGTTTTCAGGGTGAAGTCTTCCTCGTCGTTTGCTCACTTCCCACCCATAAAACATGAAGAAAGTGCTCTATAACAATACAAGTGGAAGTGACTGAACTCAATAGCTTCAGAGACTCAATGTCCACGCTGAGACTGCAGCCAACAGAAACCAGTTGTCATTCCATTGAAAATGATGAGTTTTCTTCTCCTGTGCTCTTCTAGGAAAGTTGCCCTCTCTGTACCAAACAAAAATAAGTTCACAAACTCACTCTCTTAGCTACTACAGCCCACACGGTTCCCCCACAAGCCATCTGATTGGCTGCGTGCAGTGACTCTTAAGCCTCTGATGTAGCACCATAGAAACAGCTCAGCAGTCTGGCCTGGTTTACAGTCAGGCCACGGAAAGCACAGTGCACACTGGCAGGAATGCAGGAGTGATGTTGCTCTTGGAGAGTTCCTCCCACAATGGAGGAAATAGGTGTGGTTAAAAAAAAACACCCACCAGGGGGAGGGTGAAGAAGGAGAGACTGAAGAGAGGGAAGGTCTGTTATTGTTTGCTTTGCACATTACTGATGGTGTTTTCAAGGTAAGGATGAGAGGGGCCCATACGGTGCTTTCCCCTGGCTGATGGTTATTATTCTAGCTTGTTCTTTCCTGTCCACCGGTGAAACAACTGTCCAGAGACAGCTCTACCAACTTTAATCAGAAGTTTGCAGGAGACCTTGTTGTTTGTCAGCACCGTCAAATCTTATCTTGGTTCTACAATGCTAAATGTTATTTTATCAGCTGGACAACAGTAGCTTATGCTATCAAGAACTGTTTGAACTTCCACTAAATGGATTTATGAAAGTCTCCTGAATGCACTGATTGACCCAGATAAAAATTGTAACAACTGGAGGAGGTGAACACTATGGCGCATTGCCTTGAATTCTATACTAAGTAACTACTTTGACCCTAATTTTCTAAAATTAAAGGCAGCACATTACACAAAAGTGCAATCATTACCTAATTAATTATAAGTAGGTCGTTTTACTCCCCAAAGCTCAGGGACTAGAACAGGGTTGTCATGTGACCTCAGCATCCTCTATATTAAATTTACGTTTTTGATGTGAGATATATTTTGGGAAATCTGCATTAGCAGGCATCAAAACGCATTTTATCAGGAAGGTGAGTCTGGTATAGTGTTCAGCAGGATTGCTGAATTTGAATTCAGTTGAATAGTTTGAATAATTATTTCACTGAACAATTCATCAGATTACAGGACTGTCCTCTAGTGGACATTATACGACGTGACAGTCTGCTCAGAGTCTAGGAATACAAGTGGTTTGGTACAGAACTATGATTAACCGAATAATGTGTTAATTTCTGACTCACGTTTGACCTTGCTTATGAAACGAGTGGTGCAAAAAAATCTACCCCAAAAAAAAAAAAAAAAAAACCTTGTCGTTATCATTGCTTCCAGCTAAAATATGAGTCCTTTATCCACAATATTGCTTTAAAAAGTCATCTTGTCTGACTCAGGAGAATAATATGCAGAGATTAAGCCCTGTTTACAAGCAGAAACAGTATAAAACAGTTCTAAACAAATATGTCAGTGGATTTTGATATGAGAGGGCAACATAGGATGGACTTCTGGAGGAAGAATTTTGGCTCATATTTTGGCCAGAAGTGATAGTTTAAAGTTAAAACTCCTTAATGATGGATTTTCTCCTTATAAACACAGTGCTTTTCACTTCACAAGATGTTAATTGATGGACTGTAGTTGTGTGGATTACTTGTGAAATATTGTGATGTTTTTATCAGCTGTTTGGACTCTCATTCTGACGGCACCCATTCACTACAGAGGATTCAGTGGTGAACAAGTGATGTAATTCAAAATTTCTCCAAATCTTTTCAGATAAAGAAAACTCATCTATATCTAAGATGGCCTGGGGTGATTAAAATGTAAACAAATATTACATTTTTGGGTGAACTATACCTTTTCCTCCAAATATTCTTCCAAGACTAAATGTGAAGACATGGTACGTAAGTCTATTCAAAAATTTCCAGGGGAAGTCCATTAAAGGTCATGTATCTTAATAGCTCATCAATATCTAAGGTCAAGGTATTTCTCTCATCTCTGATACCTTAACCATCATTAGGGTGAAGCTCACAACATGGTGTATTACAGTGCATAACAAATCTTGCATTGTCCTAATAAGTTCATTTAAATTGAGATTGGTCAGTAGGTTTGTAGACATTGCCTGCCCCTTCACGCGTGAAATGGTTTTGAGTCCAGAACCATCCAGCTCTACACCATCAATGTGGCCAGAGCAAACCACTTAACCCCAAATAGCACCATTGGCACTGGAGTACGGTTAACCATGCACTTTGACTCCTGTGTCAGTCTGAACAAGAACAACCATGCTTTTCAGTTTGATGGATGGCCCATAGGAAAAAAGGATTGCTCAGTGATTGCTTTTCCTTAGCTCCGGAGATTTAGATGAGATTCTCATATATCTCTCATTTTAGTATCAACAGCATTTCAGATGTTTCTCCTAAAATTCCTTAGGAGAATGGAAGTAGACACAAATGAGACATGATAAATATTTGAGAAAAAAGAGTCAAAACAGAGAATGTGGTGGAAGAAACATAGAATATCTCTTTATTGTCTTGCTGCAATCTCTATCAAGACTCCATTATAGGAATATTTTATTGCTCAGTGGTTGCTCTTTCTAACCTCAGGAGACTTGATGTATTCTCATGTATTTCTCATTTTAGTCTCAACAGTGTCTCAGATTTCTCCTAAATATCTCCTAAATAATCCTTAGGAGAAATAAAGGTAGACACAACTGAGACATGAGAAAGTTTTGAAAGAAAGGAAACCAAAATGACAATGGGAGATCTCTTTATTGTCTTGCAAGTCTCCATTATAATATGTTTCACAGCTCAGAGGTTTTTATTGCAATGGGGTTTTTCACCTTTAATGGTCAGGACAGTAGGAGTAGAGACAGGAAACGATTGGACAGGTGAGAATCGAACAGGAGCAGAAAAGCACCTTTAGCTGGGATTCGAACCCATGTTGTCTGAGGGACAGTTGTGCCTTCACGTCGATGTGCTGTCCACAAGTCTATGGCTCTGACAGAGGTTACTCTACGCTCAGGATACTAAGGGCTGATTCTCTTATATGTCTCATTGAGATATCAGCTTTGTCTTAAGATGTCTTCAGTTTTATTTTAAGAGAAACTTTAAACTTTTACTAATATTGTAAATACTAAAACTATCATTTAAATAGCATTGAACATTTCAAAATATCAAGGGTTACTGGTTTAAATGTTTAAATGTTGGAATTATAAGGTTCTATTTGACATTTTTGTCAAAATTGAGTTATTCACATATTCTTATTCTGCGACAACTTATTTACATTATGTGATCGATTTTTTTTTATGTTGTGTACATTTGTGTACAGTTTCTATCTACACAGTCGACTGGAATGCAAATACTTTGAAGCTCAATATCTCACAACTACTCGGAATGCAGATAGAACGTTGTAATTCCAAGGGGATGAAATGACATTGAAGCTAACCAGAGGGAAGAAAAATTAAATAAAAAAGAGATCTCTTTAACATTTCAAATATTTCTCCTAGACAGAAATGAGGTTACCTTAAGATTGAATGGAAACTTTTGCTTGAGTCTCCTGCTTCTCAAACCTGCCTCCTGAGACAAAAACACTAACACTCTCACAATGGTCTCCTTTAAAGTTTTAGAAGAGATCTCAACAACTTTACACACTGTGCTCAGATATTTCTCCTACAGTTAAGATTTGAGAGCTCTCACATTGTCTCCTCTAAATTTCAGAAGTGATCTCAATAACTTACAAAGTGTGCACCAAGTCAAATGCCTCAATATGAGCTCAAACATTTCTACACTTCAAACATTTCATAAATATGTATTAATAATCAAAATATCCAATTAATAATCAAGACATTTATGTGCCTTTCAGCAAAGAAAGCTCCAGGGTTTCATTTCCTGTAAATCAGTTTTGATTAAAGCATCCGATACATTACTATTTCCAACAACAAATTATGTGCCTAAGTACATAAACATTGTACTATAAAAAGTAACATTATACTTATTTCTGAATATTTTTTTCTCTCAATATAGCCTTTAACTCTAAACTCGGCTCACTCGGCTGTGTTCTGGCAGCGGCTCACTGAAAGTGAGCCAGCTCTGGCCCAGTAATGGTTGCCAGATTTGGCTAGGCTTTGGATGTGCGGATCTGGCCCGATTTGCACTGAGACACGGCACATTTAGCCACATTCGGCCCGATTACGGACCATAAGTGCTGGTCTGATTTTGGCTGAGATATGGGCATGCATACCCGGACCAGGTGGGGATGCCACGACAAGAAATGGTATAAGGGCCAAACCCTTAATCTTTGTAAAGGTGACATATTTAGTTGACCTGCATAAGTACATGTAGACTTAACAAGGACACTGTAAAATATGAATTTTATTTTAGTTGGAAGTAGATGCCATCTTAAGAATTTTAAGGTAACAATGTCATTTTATGGAAAAACAAATTATTCAAAGCTTTTGAATAATTCAAACTCAAAGTTTTTATATCAAAACTGGAAGGAGTCTTTAATACACATATTTTAGAAGTTGTAATTCTGTATGAGTAAGTGTAAG